CCGCTCCCCTCTCACACATACATTGTCTTTAAAACTAAGAGCTGCACAAACAATTGCTTACTCAAAATTTTAAAGTTAGCATCTTTACCAGGATACTCAGACAAACTGATAGATAAGAGAACTTGGAAGTATCCAATGATTGTCTGGAGAGCTTCATGATGTGCAACATGGAGTTCCTCAATGAAATTACTTGTCTATAACAAATTCTGGCAGAAAATAAACCAGAAACTCACTGCTGAGTTGTCATTAAAGTTAAATATTTCACTTCACTCTATTTTATGCAAGCAAACAGTGACTAATAAGATTAACCTAAGAGCTCAGTATTGGGTGTAGATATCCTTCAATAGAAACAGGTTCCATTAGTACAGGTAATGAACTTATATTTAAGGGAGTAAAATCTTGCTTCTGGAAATGCAATTTACTAGAAAAATATTTGCTGCAGATGCCAGGGCAAAAGTGTCAGTTTTCTCCTTTTCAAGGAGCAACCACAAAAGAACTGATGGCAGGGGCAAATAAGGTCCCAGGCTCCTGAAGAGGGCTCAGATCCCCATTTACGTGAGGTTGGTTCTTTCAAGGAATATTTTTCCTAACAACTAAAACGGTTTAACACATAATCAACATCTTGTATCAATTACACAAATACCATTTAAGCCATTCTGGTGCCCTGGGAAAGAATCACAACACACAGAAATCCCTGCTGGCTTCAGCTGTCCCCTCCTGCGGGGCTTAACAAGACGTCCAACCCTCCCAAAAACCAGCCACTAGGCTCCCCCCAGCGCCCTCCTCTTGCATCAAACCGGCAGGGCTCACGGGCCAAACTCCAATGTCCCTGAATTCAAAACCGCGAAAATGCAAACGTTAGGACACCTAATAATTTTTCTTTCTTTCCCTTGTGCGCGCATTTGAGATGCTTGCCTCGACTGTCCATTTTTCAGGGCCATCGCGCGCTTCCCTCCAACCCACCCGGAGGGGCTGGAGTGAGGGAGTGCGGACCGAAGGGAAGACCGGTTAGTTTTAAAATCTCAGCGGCTTACCTAGTGCGGGAAATGTAGTACCCATAAGTATCATCATAATTAGATGCAGATATAAAGAAAAAGGCTCATCTCCCCATCACACCCCACCCCTGCTAAAAGGAATAACAAAAATATGCAGATATGTGAGCTGAAGATCTGGGCCCTCCCCTGGGGCTATGGGGCCGGAGGAGCAGGCCGTCTGTAATCTGGATAAAGAAAGTTACCCGGCCAAGTGGACGCCAGGGCGTGAGTGAACAGCAGCGGGTGCAGAGCCTGCCTGGAATGGGGCCGTGGGCAAAGAGACCAGGATGCGAAGAAACCCCAGCAGCCAGCGAGCGGGCCGAGGAGGGGAGTGGGCGCCGAGGCCGCGGAGCGTGGCCGGAGCTCTACTTACATAACGCTTTAACTTTTTCTCCGGGGGAGACTTGCGGAGCCACCCCGAGCAGACCACTTCGCCGCCGCTCATGGTGCGCGCTTGTCGGGTTCCGAGCCGGCAGCTGGGGGTCGGTGGGCGCGCTCCCGAGACAGCAGGCGTCTGCAGGGCGCGCAGCCAACAGGACCTCGCTCTCTCCTCGACGGGGCTGCGGGGCTCCTCGGAGCGCCGGCTTGGCGCGTTCGAGCCTCCCTTCCGCAGGTCCGCCGACGTGAGCAGAAAGCGAGCGGGGCCGAGCTGGGCGGAGGACTGGCCGACCTTCCTTCAGTGCGCCTGCTTTGCCGCCAGGCGCGCCGTCCCGCCCGCAGCCTCGGCAGCGCTGGTGCTCCGCGGGACTCTGCCCCGACACGGAGCGGGAGCCTCGGTCCCCTGCGCTCCGCCCCCTAGGGACAGGACCTCCCCAGAGCGCTTTCCAAAGCAGACACAACGCTACACACACACACACACACACACACGCACACACACACACACAACGCCCTGTGCGGTGCCCACTCCGGTTCGCCCGCTCTCGGTTTCGGTGCGCCGGGCGCGATCCTCGCCTTCCCTCTCCTCCGGGGAGGGTGGGTCGCTTCTCCGCGGCGCCTGGGCAGCCGAGAGGAAAAGAGAAGCCGTGAAGCTTCTCGGGGCAGGGGACGCAGGGCAGGTCCCGGGCTACCGAGGGAGCCACAGAATGGGCGGCGAGGCGCGAGGCGTCGCGGGGAGCTGCGGAGGTCCCGGGTCTGGCGGGAGGGTGGGTCAGCGCTCACGGCCGCCGAGGAGGGCGGGGAGCGGCCGAGGAACGAGGCGCTGGGCGGCTCTGCTCCTGGGAGGAATCCCACTGTCCCGTCCCCTCGCGCTCCTCCCCGCGCCTCCCCCACCCCGGGGCGCGCGGCGGGTTCTGAACGGCGCGGCCCGGGGTCCCACTCCCGCCACCTCCCGGGCTCCGGGTCTCTCTTCCTCCCTTTCCCCCTCCCTTCCCCACGTTCGTGCCCGGCTCTGGTTTCTGCCCAGACTTTCTCTGAAACTCCGCCGGAGCGCTTCCAGCCACAACAACAAGGGCCGAGGGAGGAGGGCACGGACGGAGGGAGGGAGGGAGCGGCGAGGGAGGGCGCCGAGTCCCAGAGGCACTCTGGGATCTGTAGTCCCGGACGCCGGAGCAGGGTCCTCGCCGCCCGCGGCCCCCGGCCGGCCCCCGAGCGCTCCCGGGAAGACTGCCGAGGCCTCGGGAGGAGCGCCGGCGGGGCTCGGGAGCCGGCAGAAGCGAGGGACGTTGACGCGTTCAGTCCGGGTTTGCCATCTTGGCTCTGCCCGGGTGTCAGTTCAGAGTTTGTTCTGGGCACCGGATCGGGAGTTTTGAGCGTTTTCTCCACTTGACAGCCTGAAAGGGGAAACGGCCGAGTGAGACACGGCGATCCCGCAGGTCCCCACCACGCGAGACTGAAAGGCTGCGACCAGGAGGACGAGGCATCGCGCCATGGCGACCAGCCTAGAGAGGACAGAGGGGGACACCAGGGCGGCCGCGGGCTGGTCCCGGAGCAGTCCTGCCAGAGTAGTGGGAGCGCTTAGTGGGGTCAAAGGACCTGAGTGGGTCTGTGGGACACGTTAAGGTCTCGCACTCCCTTTGTTTGTTGCCTGGTTTTTTTTTTCCATTTGGCTTTGTATTTGCTTAAAATCTGCCCTGGAGATGTCGGATTGGAAAGGGAAGCTTTGCTAAGTGTCCTAGTTCTATTTGCCTACTCGTGTGTGTTTTATAATCATTATACCCGGTCCTGAATTTAACACAGCCTGTAACAGAAATATACTTACCAATTTAGTTGTAACAAAGACCCAAAACCAATTTTAGAATAATTTTTTTTCAGATAAGAATACTAAGAATACGAAGAGCTAAAGGAACATTTCTGAAAAACAACCGTTTCCTTATTGACATATTCAACAGTCTTCTACACTTAAAACCTTGTAGATTGTAGTAAGAGTTTAGATGCTGGGTTGGTGACGAGACCTTAAGAAAGCTAGTGCTGGGTCGGTGAGGAACCCTAAATGCATCCATGCAGGTGGTGGCATGGGATAGCAAGCAGTGTTGACAGAACTACAGCTTGTCGTCATTAGAGGTGAGAGAATAATGGGTGGGACTAAGGATAAGAAGGCAGTCTCATTCGTTATTTCTGTAATAGATCAAGGAAGCATTTGGCCAGAGTCAGAGTTGAAAAAACAGAGAGAGAGAGAGAGAGAATGAATCAGGTTTCTTTTGTGGACTAATTAAAAGGAATAATTGTAAGCAGCAAGAGGATTAGTCTTAGGGAGCCCAAATGGAGACCCCCAAGTGATCTCCAAATAGGCAAGAAAGAGACTACTGCTGGTGCAAGCTCCAGTCCCCTAAGCTGAGACATTGATAAGAGGCCCCCATGATACTTCATCATTCAGTCACTCTCCATTGGATTAATATTCTATTAGTGTCATCCCAGGGAACACCTCAAAAATAGAATTTATTTAAGTCATCTAGTAAGTTATTATCAGAGAATAAAGCTGGTATTGTAATGCTGTCTTCAGTTTTTCTACAAAAGTATCTTTAAGCTGGGCACAGTGGTGCATACCTGTGATCCTAGTGGCTCAGGAGGCTGAAGCAGGAGTTCAAAGCCAGCCTCTGCAACAGGCGAGGTGCTAAGCAACTCAGTGAGACCCTGTCTCTAAATAAAATACAAAATAGGGCTGGGGATGTGGCTCAGTGAGTGCCCCTGAGTTCAATCCCACATACCAAAAAAAAAAATTTTTATAGACAACACACCTGCAGAGGCCTGGTTCATTGGGGTTTAGAGACCATAATCATTTGGGAGGTACACAGAGTATTACAGAGGCTGAGTTTCTTCCACATCTGAATTCATTTTCTCAGATCATCAGTTTAGTGGTCAAATTATACTGACTCTGAGCTTCGGTTTTCTAGTAGGTGGAATGGAAAATGATTTAATACCAATTTTGCAGAATTTTAATAAAAATTAGAAATGATAGAATTTTAAATGCTGGGCACAATGTAGTTGATGTTGAAAAACTCTGTGTGTTTGTTTGTTTGTTTGTTTGTTTAAAGTTTAAGGCTTTTTGGGGGCTGGGGTTGTGGCTCAAGCGGTAGCGCGCTCGCCTGGCATGCGTGCGACCCTGGTTCGATCCTCAGCATCACATACAAACAAAGATGTTGTGTCCGCCAAGAACTAAAAGATAAATATTAAAAAATAAAAAAATAAATAAAGTTTAAGGCTTTTTAGAACACAAGTGAGCGGAAATTTTGTGGCAGCTAATACACCAAAGAGATTTGTTTTTAAGTATATAAACACATCATGTGTTACATATAACTCTTACATATTACATATAACTCTTCCAAAAGAAAATAAATCATCAGATTTGCATTCCATTTCTCCCACAGGCAGTATGTAAATACTATTTAAGTCAAAGTATTAATAATTATCACTATTAAGACTAGTTCATTCTTGAGCAACTAACTCTTGGCTTTAGCAAATTTATTATACCTAGTCCTGAAATTAACATGATCCTGTAATAAAGCTACATTTCACAATATATTTGAAACAAAGCCTCAACACAAATTTTAGAAGATAATAGAAATAATCAGACAAAAGTGCTAAAAATATGAGGCCATAAATGACCATTTCTGGGAAAAATAACCACAGGCATTTCCTAATTAACTGAACATTCACACTCAGGGGTTTCTCTGTGGTTGAAAATATTACAGACTATAGCAAGAAATTAGGCTCTGGGATGGTGACAAGACAAAGGTCCTCGTATACATCATGGACCACACCCACTCCTTCCACTCTTATTAAAGTCCTTTTTAAATGGAAATTTGTAATATATTCTTATATTAGTTTGCCTTTGAAATTTCCAGTATATTTTTTTCTTTATTTCAAATAAGTCGTTTGGTTATCTCATTTTTATCTAAGAACTCTTCATAAATAATTTTCCTACCTTCTACTGTGTAGTTTTAGACTAGTATTTGTAGAGATCAGCAAGGAGGTGAGGTTGAAGGTAAGTGTGTCTGTGTATGTATAGTATTTTTTTAAAAGAAATACATATTATTTTTTACATTATATGCCAATTTTAGATTATCTGTTATTTCACATTTTATATCTTTATGCATTAAATGGCATGCTGGGGAAAACTATTACACATAGAATATATACAACAAATAATTATGGAATGTCTTGTATTTGCAAGTCCCTAAGTATCTGAGATACAATAGAGAGGAAAGCCGGACTTGTTCCTGCCCTCATCTGGAGAGGGAAAAAAAAAAATCACACCTTTTCATAAATAATTAACCCCATAATGTCTATAATTTAGTTGATAAATGCTGTGGAAGAAAAATATGAAGTCTTGTTTGGGCATGTAATAGAGGATCTACCCACTGAATGCAGGGATGGGTGTGATGGGAAAGATTCCCTTGAGGAAAAGACTTTAAAATGAAATCCTCAAGACAAGCAGAAGTTGGTCTGGCCTGGAGAAGCCAGACAAAAACAAGAAACTTGATGGAGCTTCTAAAGAACTGAATGAAGATAGCCCCAAAGTGAGAGACTCAGCACTGGGTAAGATTACAGAGGAGGCATAGGGCAGATTGTGCAGATTCTTAGAGATATTTTTGAGTTCAGACTTTTCCTTAAAGCAAATGACCATGACTGTATTATCTCTCCTGTGACCTTAAAATTGCCTCGTTCATCTCCATTATCCCAGTTTTATCATGCATCTTCCAACTTGATTTTTCTGTTTTTTCCTCTGCAATTCTTCTTTTTTTCTCAACAGCTTATTCTAGTCTATCAACATCTCTGCTCTTCCATGATCTATCAGAACTCTTCTTTCTTCATTCCCACCCCTTCCCCCATTTCCAATAACACACTCCCATCTCACAGAGCCCCCCTAGATGAGCCCATCTCTTTGTCTCCTGCACCCAAGCAGCCATGTGGAGCAAGTCACAGCCAGATGAGAGGCACCACTGTAGATTTATGCTCAAGGACTTCACATAGACCCTCCACTGTCTGCAGGGGAAGATCTCAGTTTGCTGGGACCTGAAATTTATACAGTCCTGGGGGGGGGTCCTTTTAAAGAAAAGGAATACGCAATTACAAATACAAAAATAAGATGAATAGGCATTTAGAATGAGGAAATAAATCACCAACAAATTCCTAAAGCCTTGGAGGGACAGATGCCTTTCTTCTAAGATCTATAGATGATGCCCAGAATCCTTCCAAACATAGGCTTCCTGAGTATACCTTGGACTCTCTTGCCAGCGTGGACACTCCACCTTTCCCCTCTGTCTTCTCTACACTCTCAGAGCCTGTGCAACAAGAAGTCCACCCTGAAGCTTCCATAGCTTCATGCATGTTTCTGCCATTTGGTGTCTCAGTCAGTTCAGGCTGCTATAACAAAATACATTAAAC